CGGTTTACAGGAGGATGGAACGGTTTACAGGAGGATGGAACAGTTTACAGGAGGATGGAACGGTTTACAGGAGGATGGAACGGTTTACAGGGGGATGGAAGTTTTACAGGAAGATGGAACGGTTTACAGGAGGATGAACAGTTTACAAGAGGATGAACAGTTTACAGGATGGCAGTTTTTACAGGAAGATTGCCCGGATTATAGGAGAATGGCCCAATATCCAGGAGGACAGCCCAGTTTACAGGAGGTTGGAACAGTTTACAGGACAGTACTGGTTAGAGGATGGCCCAGTTTACTGGAAGATGGGGCATTTTACAGGAGTGCAGGTTAAAGGAGGATGGCCCAGTTTACTGGAATAGAGAGAAGTTTACAGGAGGATGGTCCAAATATATAGGAAGATGGGGGAGTTGACATGATGGCCCAGTTTACTAAAAGATAGGGCAATTTAAATGTTGTACATTTTACTTTTTACAAAATGGAACAAATTAATAGTTTTTCATTTTTATTGCAACAAAAATGATGACAAAAAGTCTCATTTACATCAATCAGATAAAAATATGTGAAATATAAAAAAACATCAACGTGACACGAACCTGAGGAATAAACACCCTTCCACAATAAAGCTCTGCCTGGAAACAAAAAAACAATCCAAAGATGACATCTTCATATTCTGCACAACTGCCAGCAAACAAAAAGGACCAGTATTTTATTTTAACATCAGAAATCAAACAGAAAAGCCCAGCGTTTGTTTCCACTGCTCAGAGAGAAAAATATTTACCTGCTGTAGATGGCTCTTTGAACAGACTGATTTTGAAAAAAATAATGTTTAATTTTGATTAGAATGACGAGCAAAAAAAATGGATCCACAAAAGTGGATTACTGCGGTCTGAAAACAACTTTTAACATCTCACCCATTGTAAATGGCTGTAGCGGAAAAACAAGTATGGCTGGCAGCTGTGTCATTTATTCATTGATTTAAAAAGTGCTTTGGTAAACAATTTCAATATGTATTTATTATGGTAATATTTTCATTTTTCTGAACCCAGAGTCATTGATATATTAATGATTCTGTTCTATCAGTATTCCTGTGAGAAATATTTTTATGTGCAAACAGCAGAAGTGAACTGCAACACTTCCTGTGCAGCCTGGGGTCACTTTCTGCAAACGTGCATGTCTGCTAAAATAACTAACGTGAAATTACAGAATATACTAGTTTGAGCTAACGGTCTAAACTAACGGCTAGTTTAAGATAACTGCTAGTACAAATTAACAGCTTACCCAAGCAAAGCTAACATAAACTAGCAGCTAGTCCAAACTAAAGGCTAGTTTGAGCAAATGGCTAAATGCAAAGTGATGAGCTATAGCTGAAAATAAACAGAATTCTGTTTAAATAACTATACTGAGAAAATGACAACATTGAAGGTTTACAAAACAAAGTTTAAAGCTTAAGTTGGCAGCAATCCACTTGGGTCTCAGCTACACTCAAACCAGCCATTAGCTCATTAATCCTGTCAGAATTAAACTTTATTCCTCCACTCGGTAGTTGTTCAAAGAGCTACCAGCAACAGGTAAGATATTAACTATTTGGAACTTCAGAAAGGTTGAAATATTTCTTTCAGGGGTGATTTTTAGTCGCCATTTGTTGAAGCGACCTTAGACACACTAACCTGGTTAGCCAGCTGATTTGATCTCCATGTTTATCTCAAATAAAAACAAAACTTTTTTTTAATTATGTTACAAAAAAGCCACAAATTTAAAAATAAACAACTTTACAGCACAAAATTAAACATTTACTTTGATTTTTACTCTCATATGAACTATAGCTAACAACTTTGTAGGAATTTACGATATTTGTGGTTGTTGCACATTACTTTTCAAACATTAAATTGCATTTTAAATCTGTTTTAGCAGAAGTTTCTGCTTTGTGACTGCTCGGCAGGAGCTAAAAAAAACTCGTCACGGAGAAAAGCAAGACGCTTCGGGATGTTTGATTTGATTAATATAAATATTCTTCCTCACCGTATTACAAAAAACAGAACGCAATACATTAGAAAAAAATACTCAAAACTTTTCCCCCCCAAGGTTTTTCCTCCAAATCTGAACACCTGGAAGGACGCGATCACAGTGAACACCGATACAAATCACAATTTATAAACCCGGTTCTGATCACTTCATCTGAACGCACTAAAACGGCACGAAACAGACACAGAAAGCCAATCACTGGAACCACAGGTGGACAGAAGCATTCAGTACAGAAACATTCACGTTGGCAACAACAGCAGAGTGGCAGGGAGCTCCGGTTGGTCCCCGGATGAACTCGGGTTCATCTAAAGTCAGAAGTCTGCGGAGAGCATTCACACAGAAGCTGTGGAGTCACTTCCTGCTGCCTCAGGCCTCCGATATTTAACTGACAGGCAAAAAAAAAAGCTGAAAGGCACAACAGCTGCACCGCTGACGGAAAGAACCATCCGTGAAACGCACAGCAGGCAACAAACAGGCGGAAAGTATCAAGTTTATGCATTTGTTTCAAAATGGCAAGATATTTTAACAGGAACGGTTATTGGCAACGGAAATTAAAAAGGCAAAAAGCAACAAAAATCAGATCAGGTAAAGCAGTTCAGGTAATAACTACTTGCACGACTATTCCGAGCTAACAGCTAGTCCAAGCTAACAGCTAGCCTGAGCTAATAGCTAGTTCAAGCTAACAGCTAGTCCACGCTAACAGTTCATTGAACTAATGGCTAGTTGAAGCTGACTGCTAATCCAAGCTAAATGCTAGTGCAAGCTAACAATTTGACCAAACTAATGAGTCCAAGCTAAAGGCTATTTTGCGCTAATGGCTAGAAGGCAAAACTTTGAGGATTGGTGTTGCTTTAAGACAGCAGTGAAATATTCCTGTTTCCGTCCTCGCTTGGACTAGCGGTTAGCTCATCGATCTGATCAGAATTAAACGTTTATTCCTCAAAGCTCTCTACATTTATATCGCTTACACAAACATTCACCTCACTACAAACCAAATGTGCCCAATTAATGTGTGGCGACAGGCAGTGCAAGTATTTTTTTATTAATCAATAAAAAGCACCAAGTAGTTTTATCTGAACTCCCACCAAAAAATAGAAAATGTGCTTCAAAGTTTTAGTTTAGCAGCTGAAGCTTCCACTCCGATTACAGATTGATGTAATTGGTTTCTGTGTTTAGTTTGTTTTTTTTAATTTAGGAGAATCTGTTCAGTTTGGTGTTCCTGCTTCTTGTCCGAGGAAGTAACTTACGAGCGTGTTGTTGAGTTAGCGCAGTTCAACCCTCACGAGTAGAAGAGGAGCCACTTTATCAAACTCAGAAAAACATTTTCGGCTTCGTTCCAAACAACAAGCTCGGAGCTTCGCCCTCGGCTTTGACCACGATCTCCAAATGAAAACGACGTAAACAGTTCTCTCCGATGGTGCGGGCTCAAAGTGTTTGTTGGGTCGTAGGCAGTGTTAGTTAGAGGGGGCCTGGTGAGGCGCCGGTACCAAACGCGGAAAATAAATAAAATCAACACCCTGTCGAGGCGATCCGGAGCTTCGCGGCTCCCTGAAAGCAGAACCTCGGATCCACAGAATAAGGCAAACACGGTTTCAGGACATCCAACAAATTCAGAGCAGGCGGGCCGGGCCTACTGGACCTGGACCTCGCGGACAGGCGGCGTCAGTAGAGACAACACAAGGCCAGGGGGACGAGCGCCGCCGACAGGAAGTAGGTGATTCTGTACAGGTGGAGCGAAGAGAAGGTCGCCATGGCGACAGCCAGAGGAAGAGGGAGGAAGGACATCAGAGGCAGAAGCCGGCTGGAAAGAAGTAAAATACTCGTTAAAAATATATATTTTGGATTTACCCGGGGAAGGAGTTGCATCATAAAATCAGCTGCAAGGAAAAGGTCTGAAGAACTTGGTACTGGAACCATGAGGAAAAGCCTGATCTGCTGGAGCGGAGGTTCTACCTGTTGCTGAGTTTTAAGGTGTTGCAGTTGATGAGCAGCATGTAGACCAGAACCAGAGGCACTGTGTGAGGCCAGCAGGGGTCAGGATCCAACCGGGTCGAGTACCTGCGGAGGACCACAACACGACGGTTGGTTTGACTCGACAAAGAAACGAGAAGAACTTCCTCCACACTGCGGCTGAAGTTATGGATCGTTTTGGTTCGATTCTGGCTCAACCGGGTTGTGTAAAAATGCTAAACGTTTAATGAGCTGCAAATAAAGTTTTTGTAAATAAACAGGTGAAAACGGGCCTCTGTAGAACTTCTGTGGAACTTCCTGAGGTGACCCGTTTGCTGCGAGTCAGGTGAGTTGGAGACGAGGTTCCGATTTGTTGCTCCGTCCACTCGGGGCGTTTCAACTCGCCCGCTTGAGGCAGAACCTTGACCAGAACCTGCAGAAAGGGTTTGACCCGTTTCTGTTGGAGTACCATGACCTCCACCTCAGAGAACTGTCTGCAAACTGGAATCTTGATCTTGGTGGACTTTGACCCACACCCAGAACAATATTGACAGAGGACACGGTCGGAGGACAAAGATGTCCGTCTCTGAGGCGTCTTCTGCAGCTTCTGGTCTTTCAGAACCTGTCAGCTGACTGAGGGGTCCACCGGGCCTGAAGTTCTGAAGACCACCTCCTTCGGCTTCTGTCCGACTGTAGATTGCAGCCCGAATCGTTTCATTTGTTTCGTCTTTCTGTGGCTGCTCAGCCTTAAGACGGGCAGTGATTCATGGAAACAAATTTGTGTCAAACGTCACAACAAGATTCACAAAAACAGTTTTTCAAACGTTCACATTTCAAAATGCACAAGTAGGAACGTTCTGCGCATACAAACCATCAATTACACAAGCACAAATCACCTGCTGCGGTCGGACCAACTGCCTGTAAACACAAGATTCAGGTGATGCTGCGTTCAAGGCTGCTGAAAAGCTGGGACATCTGAGCCTCAGTAGGTTTTTCATCACGTAGGAAATCGAACAGAAATATTTCTGGAAAATAGATTTTTTTTCAGTGGTTCGTCCACAAGAATGATCGCAGACTCGTTTCTTTTTATTTCAGTCGTACGGGACACAAAATTAACCTTTTGTTCTTGTGGATTATAATTTCTAGTTTTTTGTGTGGACTTCAGAATGATTAGGTTAAACAAACAAAAAATATATTTTCTGGCATTTTTCCAAAGAAAAAGTTGTATTTTAAATATAAAGTCCACAAAATTAACATTTGATCTTGTGCGAGAACTTTTGGAACCAACTTCTCTACATCCGAACACGAGTTCTGTCTCGTCTACCTGAGCAGGTGTTCCTCTACCCGTCTCACCTCAGGTTGCGGGTCCAGTGGATGAGCGACGGCGCTGCGAGGACGACGGGCAGCACGAGGAGCGCCGACAGGCTGAGGTGCAGCCGCAGGTCGTCCCTCACCTCCCGCAGAGCGCTCTCAGACAGCAGGGGGGCGTCGGCAGAACCGTTCTCGGCCCGTCTGTGTTTCTGCGGCGCCTGTGGAGACCCACGAGGTTAGGGTTTTCCTCGGAGCGTAGCTCACCTCTGACGTGAATCAAACGGTGGAGAGAGGCTCACCAGGTTCAACATGTGGCTCAGAGATCTTTCAGTCATCTGCAGCCGCAGGACCTGAGAGGACAGGGGACACAGAGACGTCCAGCTCAGAGACGAGACGCTTCGGACACAAACAGAACCGCAGATCTGAACTTCAAGAAGCTCGAGCCACTGAGCCTCAGCTCAGACAGCTGGTTCTGTTGGAACCGTTTACTGTCTGTACACATTTCATATTAATCCACCGCCTCTCTTCATGGTGATCATGTTGAATCTGTTAGCAAAATATCTTAAAACCTTCATGACACCCTCTGAAGAAAACCGACAAGTGTTATAAAATTGTGTCTATTTCCACGGCGTGAGTTAAAACTGGACCTCCCTGAAGGAATGCATATCGCCCGCCACCTGACATAACGACGCTCTACAGAGATCTGGGATCTCTCAGAGTTTGTGTTCAGGGTGACTCTCAGCTACTACCACACCAAACTCTAGTGCCATTTCTGTAGAATTATTTTTTAGGCCATCAGAGGACTTTAGATGTCTGCTTTCATCCCAAGAGGCTGCAGGACGAGCCGAAGGACGAAGGGGTTAAATATTAAAGACTTACTCTGTAAAAGTGGAGCAGAGACGAGGACAGGATGGACAACGCTCCGCAGGAAGTCCCGCCCACAACGGCCAAACAGACACTAAGGAGGATCTGAGTCCTCAGCCGTAGAGTCCCAACGTCTCTGGACACGGACGGTCTGCAGAGACAGGACAGATGATGAGGAGGAGCTCAGAAATGAGAGGAGCTCTCAGGTTCGGCTGCGTCACCTGTGCAGCGGAGCTAAAACCAGCGAGACGATCCGGACCAGGAGGTGCAGCAGGGTGCTGCCCCAGTACGCCACAGCTGCCCCGAACACAAACAGCAGCGGGGACAGAAGGTGGGGCCACTCCTCTGTAGATAAAGGCAGCGTCCCATCGGGGACAGTGGGGGGGAGCGTGTCCACAGGTGGAGGGGTGAGGACAGACCACACCCCCTGAGACCGGCTCCAGCCAAGAAGAACGTGCAAAAAGTAAACAGGTATGTTGATCTTATGAGGCTGCAGGGCTCCGCCCACTGCCTGGCTTGGTTCTGCAGCTCTCCCCGTCCTCAAGATGGATGACAACTGCCCCCCGCAGGCCAGGAGGAGCATCACAGCTGTGTACACCAGAACCATGGGCCCGCAGAACCTCAGAGCCTGAAGCAGAGGAGAGACAGGAGGTCAGAGGACCAGAGGAGGGTTCTGATGGGAGGAGGGGAGAGGAATTCGACTCACCTGTCCCAGAACTTTGGGTAAAGACGTTTTTATGGACACCTGAACAAAAATAATAATTCAGTGATCCTAAAAAAAAAATTAATTCTACAGAGCTGAGCTCGAGTCCAAAACATTTCAGAGAACATCATGAACCCGTTCTAGGTTCTAAAGACGACAGAGCACGATAACATTTGTAGGATTTAACTTTTGTCTGGACGTCTGCAGAATTATTTTTTAATTGAGGTACTTGGTTCTTTTTTGTTCATCTGGTCCATGTTCTCCTCCCCAGTGTAGATGAACAGATGCTCAGATATATTCATCAATTAACGTCCCACAAGGTTCTTAAGGTCAAGGGTTTTGACCTTAGGCTTAGTCGTGACACCAGATTAAGCTCACTACACCAGGAGGAATTATTTGTCCTCCAGTTCTGATGTAAAGAATCATGGTGGTAGTTTTGACCAGGACACCATTTAACACCACGTTAAAAAAAGTTACTGGACCGTTGCCTTCCACATGACCGTCAGTAAAACTAAAACATCTTGGCCCACAAGATGGTCCAGGCCTACAGAAACTACACCTGGACCACAGAAACTACACCTGGACCAAGAAACTACACCTGGACCACAGAAACTACACCTGGACCATAGAAACTACACCTGGACCATAGAAACTACCCCTGCGTTAATGAAAGTATTTATGGCACCATCAGAGCTCCGTACTTTGACCCTGAGCCGGTGTACCTTATACTGACAGTTGGGGGCGGTGTGGAGCTGCAGGAGGACCCTTGAAGAGTTGTCCGGACGGCTCGTGTGCAGCATCCCTGAGATCTCCGCCACCGACGGCACGCTGGCAGACAGACGACACCGAGTCACGGCAGAGAACAGCACCGACGAGTCGGGACAGCCCGGGAAGGTAAAACTCACCTGACTGTGGTGAACGAGTCCTCTCTGAACCAGGGGGCCGTCATCCTGTAGACGCTCTGCAACCTGTCTACACACAGACGGACCGGGATCAGGTCTCAGAGAGAGCTGCTGGTCCGACATTCGAGAGGCGAACTCACCTTTAGTCACTCGGCACTGACTGATAACCGTAAGTCTGAAGGCCTGATACACCTGAGGACAAAGATGAGTTCAATGTTTACAGGCAGCGTGGGAAAAGAAAGACTCATCCAGTCAGACAGAGACTCAGACCTGGTGGAAGTGGAGCAGCTGGATGTTGTGAAGAAGTCCAGAGGACTTCACGCTGACTTCACTGGCTGTGAAACCTGAAGAACGACACAAACTGAGACGTTTATTTACAGAGGGCGGCCGAAGAGGAAACGAGCAGCGAGACAAAAACTGGGATAGAAATGGAAGAAAATAAAGAGAATTAACAAAACTACTTTAAAGTTTATAAATTATCTTTAATATGAATAAAACAAAAAACATCTGTTTATTGTCCAAGCAAAAAGTCTGAGTTTCAGAAAAACTATGGTAGACCTGAGCATTCTGACAGAAAGTCAGAAGAATTAATAAAAATATGTTTACAAGAAAAAGACGAGTTGCTAAGTTCCAGAAAAATGATGCAGAAAGTGTAACTAGAACTTTAAGCACAGCGTTACCCAGGCAAGGTGTGAAGACCGGTGGTTACAAAACTCACCAAAGGACAAGACATGTGGGACGGAGACGGACAGAGTCAAAGAGTCTTGTCTTTGCCACTCACACTCCACTGTGAACTGTAAACAAACAAACAAACAAACAAACAAACTGAACAAAAGTACCTCCAATGGTCAATCATCCTGTCAGGTTCTGTGTCTTGTTAGAACATTCAGCTGAAGTTTGACATTAAACAGCGTCAGCAAAATAAAACTGAAATCCACCATAAAGATCATGATCATCTGAACAGCTGTTTGTTCAGACTGTTGCTGCTGAGAAGAAATGTTTAAGATTTAGAGAAGTTTATGAACGTTTTACAAGAGCTTATGGAATATTTATGAAAGTTTTACAAAGATTTTATAAACATTTTATGAAAATTTTACAAAAAAGATTTTGGAAGTTTTGCAAAGGTTTTATGAAAATTTATTGACATTTTTATGAATGTTTTATGAACCTATAAAAGTTTTATGAATATTTTATGAAAGTTTTATAACGATTTTATGAACATTTATTGACATTTATACAAAAGGTTTTATGAACACTTTACAAAAGTCTGTGGAAGTTTTATGAAAGTTCTATGAATGCACATCACCTGTGAAGCCACTTGTTCACTAAAACAAAACCAGAAGGATTTGATCCAAACCTGAAGCTCAGAGTCCGTTTTCAATAAAAACACCTGGTTTTAATTTTTAATCAAAATTGTATTCTTCAGAACAAGGCAGGCAGAAAACACTTAAAGCCTATTTAGATCCATTTCTGAGCCCGTTAAGGTCCAGTTACCTGTTTGCCATTCAGGTTGGAGGCAGCAACGACCAGGTGAGTCACAGACGTCAAGTCGCTCAGACTCAAAACCAGGACCTGAGGCAGGAAACGGATCGTTAACAGAACCAAACTGGACCGGGTGCAGGTTTTAGTGTCAGGATAATCACTAGATAATCACCTTGTAAGGAGGCAGGAGTTCTGTCCCCAGAGACAGATCCAGAGCGTGGACACTGAGAAGACAAACACGCTGCGGTGACGTCACCATGAAATAAGCCCGTTTACACAAATAAAACCAGAATTTAATCGAACTGGTACCAAGACGACCCGTTTCTCTGCACGCAGCCGTACACCCAGCTGCTCATCTCCTGGTAAACAACAAAAACAATCTTTACTGGCTCTGAAGAACTGTCTTTAACGTCTAAACAGATAAAAACCAGAACCCACCAGGTTGTTGCTCCTGCAGTAGAAGTGACTGTAGGCCTTCCTGCGACTCGACAGGGCGAACAGGAAGTACTTCACTTGTCCTTCCTGTCCAGGAGAAAAGGACATTGGTTTTTATCCTTTGGTTTCACGGATCTGTCTACACATCCGATCCGTTGGGTCCAAGGTGCTCATGGTACCTTTGGCGTGCTGTAGGACAGACGCAGAGTGTTCACCTCACTCCACGCCTCAGGAAAATCTGGAGACAAAGGAATTAAAACCTTTGATTTTTAGAGTTTATTATAACTTTAAATGCTTTAAAAAAAAAAAAGATTAAAATGATAACCTTCAAAGACCTGCAGGATTTATTTAAACCTCCCAACATTTTTTTGTCTCCATCTTCTACCACTTATCTGTGGTCGGGTCATACAGGAAAACGGTCCAGGAGAGAAACTCTCTCTGGCTCCTCCTGGAGGACCCCTGAGGTGTTCCCAGACCATAGAATCTTTCCCTCCAGAAGGTTCTGGGTCTGCCTTGAGGGCCTCTTCCCAGCGGGAGGTGCCTGGAAAACCTCCAAAGAGAGGCGTCCTGATCAGATGAACCTCCTCAACTGACTCCATTTGATGCAGAGGAGCAGCAACTCTACTCCGAGCCCCCACCCCCACCACACCCCCACCCTATTGTAGACAGACCAGTAAATCCAGAGTTTTGTCTTGAGACTCTTCTTCACTACGACCGACTGAAGCAACGCCCTCATTACTGAGGACGAGGCTGTGATCAGTGGATTCATCTCCCGCTCCATCCTACCATCGCTCTGCCCAGAAACCTGAACTCCTCCACCTGAAGCAAAGACCCGTCAAGAACCATGACCTCACACTGACTCTCATCTCAGTCGCTTCACACTCGATTGCACACCGCCTGAGTCAGTACACACCGAAGTTCTTGGCTCGAAGACATAAATAGAACCACATCATCTGCATTAGATGAGACCCTGAGGTTCCCAAACCAGGCCCCCCC